TGTTGACTGTGCGGACCAACACGTGCTTGTCTTGCAGCAATGGCCGGAACTGCCGCAAAGCCAGACGCACTGCCAACAGCTCTAGACAATTGATGTTCCAAAACAGTCGAGCCCCTGTCCAGAGCCCCGAGGCTGCCTGCCTGTTGCATGTAGCAGCCCAACCCGTACTGGAGGCATCCGTCGTGACAACGACATGCCGGGACACTTGTTCTAAGGGCACCCCGGCCTGTAGAAAGGCAAGGTCTGTCCAGGGGCTGAACAGGCGGCGACACTCCGGTGTGATGGTCACATGAAGTGTACCGCGATGCCATGCCCATCTCGGGAATGGGGAGTGTAACCAGTGCTGAAGTGGTCTCATATGAAGCAATCCGAGCAGTGTGACTGCAGCTGTGGATGACATATGCCCCAGGAGCCTCTGAAAGTGTTTTAGAGATACCACGTTCCTGCCTCTGAAGGAACTCAGGCAGTTCAGCACTGACTGCTGGGCATGCTCGTTGGTGAGACGCGCTGTCATACTCACCGAGTCTAACTCCATACTAAGAAAGGAGATCTTCTGCACGGGGGAGAGTTTGCTCTTTTTCCAATTGACCCAATAAGGAACTCAGGCATTTCAGCACTGGCTGGGCACGCTAGTTGGTGAGATGTGCTGTCATACTCACCGAGTCTACCTCCACACCAAGAAAAGAGATTCTCTGCACAGGGCAGAGCTTGCTCTTTTCCCAGTTGACCCGAAGCCCCAACTGGCTGAGGTGCCGGAGCACCAGGTCCCTGTGATCGCACAACTGCTCTCGTGACCGGCCCATGATGAGCCAGTCGTCGAGGTAGTTGAGGATCCTGATGCCCACTTCCCATAACGAGGCAAGGGCACCCTCCGCGACCTTCGTAAAGACACGGGGGGACAGGGACAGCCCGAAGGGGGGGGACCCTGTACTGCCATGCCCGACCCTCGAACGCAAACCGTAGGAACGGCCTGTGTTGAGGAAGAATCGAGACATGTAAATAAGCGTCCTTCCAGTCGACCGCTGCAAACCAATCCTGGGCCTGGATGCATCTAATGATGTGCTTCTGCATCAACATCTTGAATGGGAGCTTGTGAAGGGCCCAATTCAAGACATGCAGATCCAGGATTGGCCAAAGGCCACCGAGGGACAGGCTCGATTGCGTCTTTCGCCAGTAGGACAGCAATCTCGTCGCGCAGGACAGGGGCATCTCGAGCTGCCACGTAAGTCTCGAGAATGGCGCTGAACCTAGGGGGTCTCCTGGCGAACTGAATCGCGTAGCCGAGTCGAACTGTCCGAATGAGCCAGTGGGACAGGTTGGGTAGCGCGAGCCATGCTTCCAAGCTCCGTGTGAGTGGCACCAAAGGGACAATCGACGCACCTGCGGTGGTGCAGCGGTGGGAAGTCGTGCTGGATGGCACAGAAGGCATCGTGTCCTGGCTCATCACAGCAGGACTCCCCGTATGCCTGGAGGGACTGGCCAGAGATGCGTGGAGAGACAGCTCGTCTCCGAGCTGCGATCTCTTGGCTGCTGGCAATAGGGGGCGTCATGGGCGAGAGTGAGGAGGCAGCGCGTCACTCACTGTCAACCCACGAGCCTGATAACCTGGAGGAAAAGGAAACTGCACTTTTTTCGAGAATGTGGGTACCGCTGGCCGTTAGACCAGTGGCGGAACAAACAAAACGGAACAAAGGATTCTCCCTGCCCGGCGGCAGCTGGAGGATCACGCCGGGGCAAGATGTGCTGGATGGCCTCAGTCTGTCTCTGCACTGCCGAGAACTGCTGGGCAAAGTCCTCAACAGTGTCGCTGAATAGGCCAACCTGCAAGATGGGAGCGTCAAGAAAGCGCACTTTGTCGACATCTCTCATCTCAGCGAGGTTAAGCCAAAGATGGCGCTCTTGGGTCACAAGCATGGACATCGCCTTCCCGAGGGACCGCGCATCGACTTTCGTCGCCCGGAGGGCGAAGTCAGTCGCCGTGCGCAGTTCCTGCATCAACCCCAGGTCGGAACTATCCTCGTGCATTTGTTTGAGTGCCTTGGCTTGGTGGACTTGCAGGATAGCCATGGCATGCAGGGCAAAGGCGGCCTGGCCCGCAGCACCGTAAGCTTTGGCCACGAGAGCGGCCGTCAGCTTGCAGGCTTTGGACGGGAGACGTGGACGATTCCTCCAAGCGGCGGCGTTTTGTGGGCACAGGTGCACTGCAACCGCTCTCTCCAAGTGGGGAATGTCTACATACCCCCTAGTCGCCCCGCCATCGAGGGTAGTGAGGACGGAGGAGGGAGACGAGTGGTTTCTGGCCGAAAAAGGGACCGTCCACGACTTCATCAGCTCCTCATGCACCTCCGGGAAAAAAAACTGAGAAACCAATCATCCAGCCGCAAGGGCTCGGGACTGGGCGGTGTGTTCACCTCCAGCCCGATACTCACGGCTGCCCAGGAAAGCATGGCCGTCAACTCCGGGTCCGATTCGGCGGTGGCGACAACACCCGGATGCTCGCGGCTGCCCAGGCAAGCATGGCCGTCAGCTCTGGGTCCGATTCGGCGGCGGCCACAGCACCCGAGGGTTCATCCTCGGAGGACGATAGCCCATCCCCCGATGCTGCGATCGAATGAAATGCTGGGACCGTCACGAGCCGGGCCAGCGAAATCACTTGGGAGTCGCACGGGACATTCGCTGCGGGAGGAGTGAGAGGTCAACAGGGATGTGCCCGGCGGAGAAGCTCTCACTGTGACCCTCAGATCTCCCAGAGCTATAGCCAGCGGTCCCCTGCTCGTGACAGGGAAACCGGGACGGGTAGAGACAGAGGGTGCCACTCCATTCCCCGTGAGGAGAGAGGCGAGATCGCAGCGAAGCCATGCTCATACGCTCGCAATGAACACATGAGTCATCCACAAACGCAGCTTCAGCGTGTTGGATGCCCAGACACTGAAGGCAACGCTCGTGGCCGTCAACAGAGGACAGGTAACGACCGCAACCAAGAGAACACAGATGGAACGGCATCTTTAAAAAGACACGAGCCATCCGTGATGAGAAACTGCTCTTTTAGTTGAAGCACCCAGGGGAATCGCTGAATCAACAGGGACATCGCTGTTTGTGCCGTCATGCCAACCAGGAACAGCGTCTTTATTCCAGTGAGATCAGAAAGGTTTTGTGGAGAAGAAATCATTCACCCACTCAGCTCCGAAGCAAAAATCTGATGAGTGGATGCACCTGTTGCATATTTATACCCGTATGCACGGGGAGTGGCTCAGGTATGCAAAATCCACTAGCCAAAATTAATTGCCTCGTAGTGACCGACAGATAGGGAACTTGAGTTACTGTACTTTACTAAAATATAATTAACTAATAAATATATTAATATAATATAATAAATATATAATATAAGTATATTTTAACAAACAATATAACTAATAATGTAGAATATAAAATAAAAACTTGAGTTATTAACCTTCATGAATTAATACATAATTATAATGTAATATAATATAACAATATAAATAATAATATTGCTCATAAAAATAAAACCTATATAAATAAATCAATATATATATAAAACCTTAATTAATTTATAAATACTTTTAATGAAAAGTAATCATTTAGATATTAAACTTGAAAGTAAAATCATATCAAAAGATAATCACAATCATATGATCATGCAAATGCAGCATTTGTTCATGATCTTTAAGTCACTAATTAATATTAATGAAATATATTCCTATTTACAGTCATTATTAAGCGTATAACTTACTGTGTTTAAAAGAAAGACCATCTAAACAAAATCATTCTGGTTTTTATTAGAATTAATTATAATTAATCAGCTTTAAGTTTCCTAAATGCTCATTTTTAGAATATGTAATTTTAATTGAATATGTTCCATCACTCTAAGATCCCACAAGAAAGAAATACTGTGATATTATCATGGTATGATGAGGGTATCAGATGGTAAAACTGTGAAACTTTGATATATATATACCATGGTACATCTCCAAAAACACATGATTTTACCATGTTCACAAAACTGTAATCCTTTAGAGAATAATTGCATTTTTTTGCTCTAAACAATCTGGTAGAATGTGAGTGTGCCACCTAATGGAAATAATCAAACACTTTCTGGGGAATCAACAAACTGATCAAATACTTGAAATGAAAAGATGCTGAAATACAATTTTGCAATTACAAATGGGAGCATTTCTGTGGCTCAGACAGTAAAGCATTGTGATTACAATAGATTCTCAGGAAGTGCATGAACTGATCAAATGTGAACCTTGAATGCAATGGATAAAAGCATCTGTCAAATGCATGAACGCAAACATAATAATGTTTGTGGTGCATTTAATCTAGAAGTGATGATCCTTATGTCATATTTTAGCACTCAAAAATCATCTGGATCGTCAAGGTCATTGTAGGAAAAAAAAAAAAACGTTATCTGAATTTTTATATATATCAGATAGTTGTCAATGCAACATTTCTCATTTTCATTTAGCTTAACCAGATGTACTAATAAAACTAAAACAGAAATAAAAATGTATAAAAACTAGATGTATTTTAAAAAACTAATAAAAATGAGAAAGCACACAACAAAATGACTAAAAGATTAACTCAAATTAAAATGGAAATGGAAATAAAAATAATAACCCTAGAACACTTTTTTGAGCTTCGGATTGGAACCGACCCTACAACACAGCGGTCATAATTGCTCCCACTTCAGAATGCCTTATGCAGGTGTCGTTTTGAAGTGCACCGTATTAATATGATTTCAGAATCACGAGGCGTCAGAGAGTGAAAGTGCTATGATCAGTGCACATATGTCCATCTGCACATGCTATGCACTCATTATGAGACTCAGAGAAAACAAGCTGTGAGTAAGAGAGTGTGTTTATGACTCACTGTCAACCGCAGGACACTCTCCTCACCTGCTACCCATGATTCTCAGCGGCTGAACACTGCAGTGAAGATGTAGAGATTCTCAGATGTTGGTTTTCTTTTTGGACTTTCAGGTCAAGCAGATCATGGAGGAGGCCGTGACACGCAAGTTTGTGCATGAAGACAGCAGTCACATATTCTCTTTCTGCGGTAAGATGATCTTTCCTTAAAAAACCCTGAAAGAACAGTAAAAATTATTATTATTGTTATTAATATTATTAGTTTGTGAATTGTAATTAATTACTATATTTATTATTATTTTTTTACAAATTATTAAATTATTTACTATTATTTATTTATATTTATATTTAATTATAATTATTTTAATTACAATTATTATTGTTGTTAGTAATAAAAATATGAAACGATCTCAAATCATGTCAATGTGTGGATTGTGCCTGTAAGCTTTAGAGTATTCATAAGAATAATAGTTATTAGTATTTTGAAGTAGTTTTTATTTTTTAGATCTTCCATTTTCATTTTAGTTAAAGTTTTAGTAATTTTGTTGTGTGCCTTTGTCACTT